CCCCCCCCGTCCGGCCCACCCGCCTGTTGCAGGAGGGTAAGGGAAGGGCCCCGGGGCGCCTTTCGTGGGGGGTCTCGTCTGAAGGGGGTCGTGGGTTTAGTCTGTTATTTATATATTGGGTCTGGGGGGGGAGGGGGGGGTGATGGAGCAGCTGATGCGCGCGGCTCCGCTTGTAGAATCACAGAATGGTTTGGAAAGGGCCTTAAAGATCATCCAGTTCCAACCCCCTGCATGAGCAGGGACACCTCCCACCAGCCCAGGTTGCTCCAAGCCCCATCCAACCTGCCCTTGATTCCAGGGATGGGGCAGCCACAGCTCCTCTAGGCAACCTGGGCCAGGGTCTCCCCACCAAGAATCTTTTCCTAATGTTTATCCCTCTTCCAGTTTAAAGCCATTACCCCTTATAGGGGCTATATCTATATAGGGTGATACCTGTCTATAATAAATACATGTAATATAAACACATGGTTGGAAGAGAATCCTGGTCTAGTGGTTCCCTGCTCATGGCAGGGGGGCTGGAACTTGATGATCTTTGAGCTCCCTTCCAACCTTAATGGTTCCGTGATTCTATGATAATAAATGCATGTAATAAATTTGTGTAGGGCAATACTTAAATCGGTGGGTTTTTTTCACTTAACATTCGGTCTCTGCAACCGACTTTGCAGAACCTGTGAGGCATCTGCAGTCCTCGGCATGAGATGAAGAAGAGATGCAGTGGGTTAAATTCTTGTCTCTGCTAGTTATGAAAATATTAACAGGGACAGAGAAAGAGGCATAAAATAGCATGTGCTTGCCTGATCTGTTTGCATGTTGATGAAGGATTTTTACCGTAATGTGAGTGACTAATTGAGCACCCCAGGTTTAGCCTTAGGCTTCTTAACAGTATGGCACCATAACAATCAGTTCTGGCATCTGGTGGCCCTTATTATTTATAAATTCTCAAGGCACAGCAGTGTAAAGAACAAAGCAATTTATTGAAATACATACTGTGAAGAATAAGGTTTTTTGCTTTGCAGAATTTATGTAACTGTGACACTTAAAGTGGCTTGTTACAGACTGAGAAACTCCATTTTGTCTCTCATAGGTAACAATGACTGGGTTATTTTGGCAACAAACAAGCTAACTCTGCAGTGTGGTGCAGCAGGAGTTACAGGGTGGCTGGCTGTCAGACAGGTGACACCTTTTGCAGGGGACTTAATCCCTTTTGGGGTCCATGAGACTGTCCCACAAGGGTTCTTGGAAAAGCAGAACTGAATTTACTGAAGACTTCACAGGAGATCTGATGTGACATTTAACTATAGTCCATCAACACAAGTTTAAATTGTTACTCTTTTTTTTTCTTTAAAAGGGATGAATTGTTAAAGTAATTTGTAAAAGAACAAGCGCACTTGCTGTCAAAGCAAGATCAGATTCTAAGAAAGCCATTTTTAAGACATACTGCACGGAAATGGCATTGTCACCTCAGTGCTTGTTGGGTCATTGCTCTGGGGTGAGGTGACAACAGGCTGGAAACACAGGATGTGAGACAGACAGTATTCTGTTATAACCCAAAGCTGCAGCATTTACTTGTACACTGTCGGCTTCATTAATTGAGTTTAGTTTTTGCATTACCTTAGTCTTAACAGATCTTCCAAGCACCTTTAATTTTGGCTGTTCTAGCTAAAATTGCATTTACTTGCATTGTGCCTTACCATCTACTGCTTTATAAGGCACTTGTGTCTTCTCAAGGCTCACAGTTTCCTTCAGCTGTCCCAGTCCTTTATTATGATTTTTTTTTTCTTAAATTGTATGCGTTTCTTCTTTAAATTTCTCTCTCCCTGAAAGAGAATTTGGCAAAAAATTCTTTCTGATAATTTTGAAACTGGCTGCGTTTGCAAACTTCGGGATCTGATACCCTTTTGTGTATAGCACAGCTAGCTCTCCAGTGATTTCCAAATGCTCTTCTAGCATTTTCAACAGTCCTTTTCAGTACCAAAGGTCCTGTCACAGAAGATGTGCCTTTCAAGAGTTAAATACCTCTGGGCTCGCTGAATTATTTGTAAATTTGTAGCATGCCTGTCTCTGGTGTTAGGCTCATCTGTAACTTCTGTATTTCTAATACAGTAAAGCTTTGGTAGCTTTTTCTTGTTCTCCTTGGAGCTTGAAGTGCATATTACCAGTTTTAAGGCTCAGTTTGGGATGGTCTGGATATTACTTCTTTTAGAACTGTTTCATATAGTTGTTAAGGTGAGAAAGCTGCTTATATGTTGGTCTTCTTTCCCTGTGTAGCCCTAAAGTTTACATATTTACCACCTGTAAATTAATGAGTTTTGCACATTTATAATTAGCTGGCATTACAATTTAAAATCAACAGCAGAGTTATTTGGCCTGTTCTCCATCCCTAGATTGACTTTATGCTCAAAGTTGCAGTCCAGTGGCTAGTACAGTGAAAAGGTATTCATATTTAATCTGGCAAAAAGAAAGAACTGAGGTTAAGGGAGTTCTGTTCTAATAGATCTGAATGAGTGAGATGACAGTATATGGAGACCAGTCTTGGTTCTCCTCCAGCAATTCATGTTGTGATTCTTTGCCGTTCAGAAGTAACAGCTGTGCAATTCTAGGCAAATAAATTGAGGGTAAAATGGTAATAAATTGTGAAGTACTTGCAGACTTTCAAAGGAGACCCAGCTTATGTGTGTTTTGTTTCCTCTTTTACTTTCTCTATCACCTTTTTCACATGGTTTATTTTATTAGGGTGGGAGCAGTTTCAACTAATACAGCCTGTGCTAACTGTAGATACGATTGGAAAATAAAATAATGTCAAGTGGATCTTTTGGGTGTCTCTTTGGCACTCACCAGGAAAATGAATGTCTCTTGGCCATTGCTGTGGACATACAGTACGTTTTTTGTGGTGTTTAATACACATGATAAATGTGTTTTCCTGTAACACCTTTGCTTGCAGGGGATGTGATCAGCCTTGGAGACAGAGACCTTACTGTCATGCACATGCCTGGTCATTCAAGGGGCAGTATTTGCTTGCACGACAAAGACCGTAAGATCTTGTTCAGCGGAGACGTGGTGTACGATGGGTCCATGATTGACTGGCTTCCCTACAGCAAGATCACTGACTACGTTGCAAGCTGCCAGCGCCTCATGGACCTAGTGGACAGAGGCCTCGTGGAGAAGGTCCTGCCTGGGCACTTCAACATATTTGGGGCAGAAAGGCTGTATCGGTTAGCTTCCAACTACATTGCACAAGCTGGATTTTGTCACAAGGTTTCTACTTGTGCCATGAGATCCATCGCGAGCATAGCGCTCCGTATCACCAACCCCAGAGTCAGTTCTTAGTGACCAGTTCCCTGCTGAGAACCCACATGGCTTGTGAAAGTGTTGACACAAGGAAAGGCAGTGTGCATTAGTGAAGGTGGCAAATTGGTATAGATCTGCTGCAAGTATTCTCCCTATTTTTGCCTACTTTATTGCTATTTTTATAAAAAGTGCAGAAGCTAATAATAAGCTTTAGCCAAAGCTAACTTTTTTTTTTTTTTTTTCAGAGCATGTTTGCACATGTATTGTGATTGAAATATATTGTTTTGGTTTGGTGTTCATCCTGACAGATGTGTATATGCCAAAATGAGAGGTTTTGCATTCGTGCCTGAAACCTTGTTGATGTAGCACTAGCTTTGTGAGTTTTCATTCAGCTCCTGCTCAGGTTTGGGCCTCACACAGTTCATCCCAAGACCTGGTGTGTGCTGGGAGCAGCACCATTAGGTCAAAGCAGGAGCAGCACCTGTACAGGATTCAGTGGGCAGAGAGAGGTAAGGGCCATTCTGCAGCCTTTCTCACCTGAAGCTCAGTGTCTGCTGCACCGGTCACCACCTGCAGCTTTGCAGAGTAGTTGCCTGGCAGTTTCTTTAGAATTCACTAACATATGGAAATGCTATAGACCAGGCTTCCAGGATGGAAGGTGTGTAGGTACATCAGCTTACCCAAAAAGCTTTTGATGGGGAAATAACAGCAGATAGGTTGCTGGGGGCTTCCACACTTCCTGATGAGGTGCAGGTGTTGAAGGAATGAGCCCTCTCTCCATTGGCTAGGGAGCTGGTTTGCTTACAGGCCTGCCAGTTAAGAATTGCAGAATTGGTAAACTACTGAATCCATGTGTTATACTACTTCGTACAAAGTGGATTGAAGGCCTTGCTTGATGTGTTTGGCTTTTTTTTCTGATGAGCTCATAAAAAATGTTTACAGAGTGTGTTGCTCTGTAAATTTGAGAGAACTGGACTATGACAAACTTAATTTTATTTGTGTTGAAAAGTATTTCTATGTGACTGGGTTGTAACTCAGCTGTGGTAGGGCAAGGAGAGAGGATTTAACATGAATTTGCCCTACTGCAGGTGCTGGATTTAACAACCAGTATGCTTGTTACCCCGAAGTGAATGTAACTTCAACTGTTTACTGTTTGCTTATGAAGTGCTTAGTGTGTATGTTTTTTTATGAAAAGTGCATTGCATTTCAGTCTGTTCCAAACAAAAGTTTAATACATTGAGAAATGCTAAATGAGATTGTAGCTTGCTTATGAAAATTGAATGTGTGATATTTAAAAGCTGTTGAAATGGTTAAAGTGTAATAATTCTAACGGTATATATATTTAACTTTTTTTAAAAGGACACTGTCTGATGTTATTTTTGTATATATTCTTTCCTAGGAAGTGTGCAAATGTTTTTTTCCAAAGTTTTAGTGGAGTTGAACCTTATTTGTTTGGATTTCACTTTATGGGGAAGCTGTGTCTCCCCACCCCTCATCATCATACCCAACAGAGAGCCCACAGTCTGGGTTCTGCCTAAGGCATGGGGGAGTAGAAATTGATAGCCTTCTTAATTGATATAGATTCCGATAATAAAAAAAAACCAACAGGTGCAAAATAAAAGCATCTGTGTCCAGAAGTTGTGAAAGAAAATATATTATGATGATTTTTCCTCCTCTCACTGACCACTACACTCCTGCCTTTCCTATTTGAATATATTCTTCACCAGGATTTGTACAGGTTGTGATGTGCCTAGTTCTTGTTAGCAGTGCCTATCTCCAAGCTGAAGCAAAATTGTCAGTGGGCAGGAGAGGTGTAGCAACGCAGCATTTGAAAGACTGATCACTTGCATCATAGTCTCTTTTTTTGAGGAATCCAAGTATGTCAGTCTGTTATGTGAGGAGCTTTTAAATAGTAGGAAGACGCCTGTCAGAAATTTCAGCTAAGAGTTTATCTTGGCCTCATTTGGCTGGAGGAAGAAATACAAAAGCTTAGCCTGGGAAGCAAAAAAGCCATTCAGTGAAGAGGCCCAGAACAAACTCCACAGTGTTGTTTTTTCTTTTCAGCTTGCTCATGGATGCTGCTATTTACTTAGCAGTCCAAACACTGGTTTTGGTAGCCAGAGGTTCACAGTGAACAATTACAGATCTGAGGTGGCAAGAGGGAAGGTCAGAATGCCTGAAGAAATACATAGCACAGGAGCTCACACCAGCTACCCAGATGAAGCCTGAGTGTCATAGATGACCCCAAAAGTAAATTAATTTCTTCAGATTAGCCATCTGTGGCATAAAGCCAGGAGCAGTCCTACCTGTTTCTGTGAGGGTTGTAGGAGCACTGGTGATAAGCCTGTGCAATAACATGGACAGAGAGACCTCTTCTGTCACAAAGCCTGCCAATACTTACGCCAGTTGCCAATGTTTTGCAAGTGTTCATTAGGAGAGTGAGATCACACTAATTTACCATTTTGTGTTACACTACTGTCAGTGTGGGGTTTTGATCCAATATTATTGATCCTGTAGCCAAATTTTACTGTACTGTAAAGCCTGAGCTCTTAAAAAGGGAAGGCTTACAGGCTTGTCAATTCAAAAGGAAAGATATTCCTTTGTATAAATCTGTGCTCACTACCAGCTACAAGATCTTGAAGTGTCTTGATCACTGTCAAAATGCCCTATTAACCCATGCTTAATTCCATTAAGTATGTATAGGTAACAGCAATTGCCTGTTGTTTGGTTGTTTTTTTTTTCGTTGTCTAAAATCTAAGGGGATATTTTCCTAGCTCAGAAGTGAACTTTATGTGAACACAGGCCCATGTGGGGCATGTGAGCAAATTGCTGCTATAATCCAACTGAAAGTACTTTTTGAGGCTCTCAAAGTTATTTTTGTATTACAAGAAATTCACTACTAGGTAAATGCTATGTCTTAAGTATAAAGAACTGTCTCTGACTATTTTTGTTAAGAATTTCCAAGTTTTACTCATAAGAGTTTGACAGTGTCCCTTTAACGCTACTTGGATTAAATATTTAAAAGATACATGCTAAGGTTAAATATTGCAACGTTTTTGGCATTTAGAACTGTGTTGTTACTTTTGTAAAATCTAAATGTAGTTTTTAGTAGACTGGGGAATTGACAAAATCAGATGGGGATTTTTGCTCTAGTCTGTCAAGACTCTTGTGATGGTAACAACAGTTTACACATAAATAATTTTACCATGGATAATAATAATAAAAAATGTTATAATCCTATGGAGTTCAGTCATAATTTCTAGGTATTTTTCTGAAAGAAGCATTTTTCCATTCTAAATGGAGTGTAAAACCTTTAGAAGTTGCTACCAGTGTTTTTTATGCTTTTAAGCAAGGGAATGCATGAGAAGTGTTTACAAATCACAGACAGATGCTGTAAAGATTGTATAAAACCATAAGTACTACTTAAAAAAAACCCACAACATAACGCAAAATAGGTTTTCAACAGAATTTGTGCACAGAAGACATAGATGTGATGAATGCACATTTGGGGGTCAGTTTCAGTTTGTGGTGATGTAGAGTATTTCCACACAAGGCAGTGGCTAATGAGAGCTGTTCACTGTACTTGAAATTATAATGGTCACAGAGCTGTTCAGCACATACTTGGAGCTTGAGTTAATGCCTCACATACTTGCTGCCTCGTTTCTGATACACTGATAAACTGTAGAAGTTTCCTGATTATTACTTAGCCTATGAATAACAAAAGCAGCTGTTGTCATGGAAACCAGCAGAAAATAACTGTGACTGTGTAAAGCCAAGAATAAATGAAGAAGGTGAAATGCACCTGTTTGTTTGAAGATGAAGATATGCTTCCTTCCAGACAACTGAGCCTCAGCGACCTGTGATTGTTAATGGGCTGCATTTGTTTTCCTCATAAGAGTTGCAGGGCCAAGGTGCAGTCTTCAAGTCAGTCTCTGCAAATTAGCACAAGTGCACCTTATTTTCAGCTCTTATTTTCAAAACTAGTTTAGCTTCTTCTGCATTTTATTAGGTGATGACAATTTAAAGGCAAATGCAGGCAGAAACAAGATGAATTTAGGAGGGAGGAATGAATTCTAAGTCATTAAGAGGCAAATAAGGCAATTAAATGAAAATAATTAAAATATTACAATGTTGGTTTTATCTAAATAAAAAAATGGCTTGGGAGCAGCTAACTGGGAGGGTTTGCTTCCTAGATTAGGTTATTAGGGTCCCCCTCCCGACCTCATTCCTGTTTTCTCTTTGGGGATGAAGAGGAGGTTTTTATCATACAACCGAACCATGGGAAGTAAGGCAGCTGACTGGGTGTCATCACTTGAAAGTGCTGTACAGCTGTGTGTATTATCAGTGATACTGCATTGCTGGGAACAAGAAAGGCACCTGGGATTGCAATTCATATAATGTGGCAACTTCCACTCTGGGTCTGATGGAGATGGGTGTGCAAAGCCTTCCGTGGTCAGTACTAAGCTCAGATGCACATCAAGAGTTGGTGGCAGTGTCTCACCACAGAACTAAAGGATTTTTGGTACCCCAGTTACAAACATTTCACCTCTTGTTTTGCCCCAGTGTTTGAAGCAGGAGGACTAGGAAACCGAGGTGTGTCAGCCAAATGCATCACTGTCACTACTCCTGTCTCAATAAATGCATTTGCCAACAAGCTGGAGGAAGTTTGTTACATGTACTGTGATAATCCATCACATTTGACATGAGATTTGATATGGTAAATTGTCCTAACAAGAATGAACATTTTTCTTTGGCATTCAGCAAATGAGATAGGTTTGCTTTGCAGGTGAGAAATCAAATGCTTTATTGCACTTCCTTGCAGACAAGTAAAAAATAATGGGCTGAGAAAGACCATCTTGAGGTCACTTTGCACCATCTTCATGCAGAGCAGCACAATGTTTGCTTAGAACTAGAGGTTCCCAGCAGTCTGCCCCTACTTTGTCCTGTTCTCCATCACTTTTTCTGGTCCCTCAACTGCCTCAATTTTCTGACCTGTTACTACCTTTTTCCTTCATCCCAAATCCTCTGCTCACACATTC